TTTTGACTGGATAGTTAACACCTTTCTCAGCCTAGCTGGGCGGTGGGGGTTGGGGATCATATTATTGTCTCCTTTCCTCAATTTAATATCTGATAGTACCTCTATGGGTTTAAGAGTTTATTAATTTAAAGTGAATATTTAACATACTTTGATATATAAAATTAGTAAAAATTTCAATATAGTGGTTCAAGTAGGTAGCTGCGTCAACATGCAATGGGTTTATTCCATGCTGAAAAGAAAAGAAAGGAAACAAAAGTTGTAATTAAATTAATTTAATTATTGAATTTGTTGCATTCTGTTACTTTACTTACTGTAAAGTGCATTAGTAACAAGGAGATGTAGACGCTGCCAGGAAGTAGTCCTGTGGGGTTCATGGGAATTGGAGTTCCTAAACTAATACTGCATTAGTGACTATTGGGAATTTGTATTGAAGAATACAGAGAATGAATATAAAAACCCACACCCAGTTTCCCTCCCCCCTCTATTCCAAGGAGATAATGCACAACTAGGGCACAAAGCACCCCTAAAATATGTGCTATGTACCACAAGTGCAACTTTGTTGTTCTTACAGATGCAGCCATTCAAAATGCATGGTTAAAGCCCATACTGTGCAAAATTATCTACAGATTAGCGCGGAATACTGCAGTACGTGATTGGCTGGCCAAAATGACCATGTGCCAAACAAAGGGCATCAGCTGAGAGTTTGTGTGTTGAAAGTCGTCTTTATTTCATATGCATATGGGAGTCCTGCATTTGTATACAAGACTCCAAAGACAATGCTTACAGTGCTCTTTTATATAGTGAAACAAACAATACACACTCCCACATGACTCTCTGCTTACATTGTGGCTATATATGGTCATTCTAGAAAGCTAACCAGTACATACATTTTCTTTACTGCTGGCTTGCATGACAAGCAGCCCCTTCTGCTGAATAGATCATTTGTTCCAGTTGAGGTAATTCACTCTGTAATTTCCCTGAGAACTATGCCAGCTATGCGTACAGACACGATGTGGCTATGTTATCTTTTGCGACCTGACATCCTAAGATGGAGTTAGTAAAATATAAGCAAAGAAATACATAGCCTACAAAATATAATACAAACTTCTGGTAAAACTTTTAGTTAATTCCCTCAGTCCCCCCTTCGATTCCCTCAGCGCGAATCTACAGTTTAGCGCATTATACCGCAGGACGTGATTGGATGGCCAAAATGTCTGACAGGCAGCACTCTTGGTCCATTGCTTGTTAGTGAAACGATTGCTTCATTTAATCTCTTTACTGTGCATGTTTAAATCCGCTTTATATCGAATATTAATATGTAATTGTACAACTAAAGGGAAATGTTGGTAACTGAGCATAAAAAGAAGAGGAGTATAATGTGTCTGAAGGTCATAGACAATATTCATTTAGGAATATATACATATTATGTAAGTTGTATATGGCTGGTATTGGTAGTTTAAATAAAAAATACACACCAGTATTCCACTTTCTTCATAAACATTTTAAGCATTCAAATATTTCATTCAGTTACTTACTGTGGTTATTTTGGAAAAGTTTTTATGTACTCCTTCTGATTATATTAAGTTAATATACTTTAGAAGTTATCGCAGTAAAAAAATTGATACTTTTTAGAATTTGATTAATAGGGAATATAATATGGAATTGCATATCTAAAGAAATTAATAACGATATATAACGATTTGATTATATTCATATAGCTCAAATTATTACCGTAGTACACTTTCTTTGTAAACATCTGTAAACACCATTCACCCACGATTACTTGGAAACATGCATGCCTTGGAAACATGCCTGCCCCTTTCAGCAATAGCTAAAATTGATGGGTTTGGCGTGCGACTCACATGCTTGAGGTCAGGGGTTTGAGCCCAGCTCTCGGCATGAGTTTTCTTTTAAAACTAAACATTTCTTTGAAAAACGAAAATAGTAAATATTATCTACACTATATTGAATTTGTTAGTATTTCTAAATATCACAACATGTTCAAAGTTAAATGATTTTTTACTAATAACTAATAATTTCAAACTGCTTGTATTTTCAGGGTGAGCTGTCTCTGTTTTCACAACCTTCAATTTATTAAACAAAAGTTTGGAGCCGAAAAAAACACGCAGAAACAAACTGAATGCAAAATGTACTAGCAAGAATCGCGAACATTTTACAAACATTAAAAAAAGTTACATAGCTAATTCACACAAAGTCATGTAGCTGATTCACAGCTGGATACAATTTTATCCAGCCTCGTGAAAGCACAAATTCAGACGTTTGTCAAGATATTTTCTTAAATTGTCCATCTCAGTAATCACACTGTGTTAATCTCAATGTTCACACTCCCAGTAAAATAAAAAAAACGTTTTCCGTTTTCCACATTATCACCTCGCAACAGGCGGAAGGAAAAGTGCCGGCGGTCATTTATTTCACTCTCCACACAAAGTTGATTAAAACTCATTCAAAAGGGTGTGGTGTGTTAAGACTAAAAAGTCTGCTTAACAGCCGCTTTTAAGAGCAAGGATACTTTCTGCTCATTTAAATAAAGCTACAGTATAGACAGATGTTAATTCTTCAAGCAAAATTAGATGCTTTTCAAAATCAGCTACTTTGCAAGCAGTATACGACTTCTCAAAAGATATCTTTTATCTTTCGTGCAAACTCAACAAAGGTTTATTTTTATTATTACGAAATTTGAACGATATGCCTCAGGGACTCATCATAGTATTGTAGAAAATACCATTTGCACAGGAAAATCAAAATACCGCCCCTCCCCACAGCCGGGTCTTGCCTCCCGTTGTTCCAAAGCCGTATGGTTTCAAAGTATGTTTGAAATATAATTTCTTACTCCATTTATTAATCCGGTCTATTTTTACTCATCTGGCTATGTAAAAAATAAAAAAAAACATAGCCAAATGGATCGCTGTAAAGGTTAAATTCCAAGCTGAAAAGACAAGACTCACCATGTCTTCTCTAATTCTTCAGTTCACAACTCATTCATGGTCATTCATTACTAATATTGTAACGAACGGCAGGCATACAGATGGAACATACTGGTTGTAGTGTGGTGACAGCACTACTCACCTGCACATAACAGGGCTGCTGGCCACTGGTGCTTAAGGGGGTCTTCTGTAGCTCAACCGGCAAAACCTCTGTTGAGCAACACAGGTGACCTGGGAGACCTGGGTTCGTGCCCATGCGGTGAAGGGTGAACTGAAGCGGGAGTAGCAAGCACAATATTGTTAATAATATATTCCATATGTCATTTAAATTGGAATATTTTTACAAATATAAGAGACAATACACAACGTGTAAAAATAACGCCTTTCCCTCCTTTAACTTAAAGAACTCGGTGAAGAAACCATCACTTATAATAATTCATCCAGATGCACACACTCACACCATAGCCAACAACAAGCTATAACAGTAGACTATTTTTATATATTCAGCTATGTAAGAAACAAACTAATTCTCTGATTGGACTCTGAACTGCCTGGGTGCAGTGCATTACATGACAGTCCATTGCCTATTACCACTATAAAGACAATAATATATATATATATATTTTTAAAGTCAAATGTTTCCAAAATGTTCCCTTGTGACATTTTAGCTGCTTAGTTACACAACTCCATATTAATATTACTATCAAGAGGTATTAAATCAGTACAATCACATTTTAGCACAGCATACGTCACACTTTTTGAATGGTTGGATCTTTATGTATTTCTAACAACTCTGATGAAACCAAATAATTATAAAAACTACTAATACATCAATTTCATTTATAACTAAAATAATTATATCTACTACTAAGAAGAAAAAGGCCAGTGAAAACCTTTATAAAAAAGTAAAAATGTAGATATTAAATGGATATACATTAAATTTATATATAAAACTAAATGCTGCGTACACATAAAAAACTCAATTGTTTAAGAAACTGAACTCATTCTTTTTAAGGGTATCTTTAAATTCCCTTGCTTTTTCTGAACATCCTGGAGATTGTACTGTAGGTCTGGAGGTTCATACAAGTTATTATGTTTTATTAATATAACTCTAATATTGTACATACTGTCATATATACAATAATCAGAAATGTGAATTAAGTTTGCATATTATTTTATTGTCAGAGAAAGTCTCTATTATGCCCAAGGGACAGTTTGTTGAAAAAATACTTTCGGTTTTGGATGGAATTGAACTCGGACTCTGTCACGTGATTTTTATCACTGAGCTACCAATGCATCACTCTGACGGGGATTTGATTTTCCATCGCAACAGATGTAGTTAAAGAAGCTTTTCAATGCCTTCTCAAATAACCACATCAAGTAACTGAGTTAAAGATGATAAAGAAAATGTTTATGATAAAGGCCGAATACTGTTGAATGCGTTCTTTTTTCACATTAATATGGTCAGTTATTTTTGTCACAGTAAGTGACTGAGTAACTTTGATGCAGATAATGTTTATGAAGAAGGTGGAATACCAGCTACCGTATGTACATAGGGTAAATATATATTTATATTAATAAATTAATAGTTTAGGTCATTCAGAACGTTATACTTCTGTTATTTTCACAGTGTTTTCAACTACCAAAATCTCTACCATTCTGTATTAAATGTATTTAAAGATAGAGAAACATCAAATGAAGCAATCATTTCACTAATATCTAACAAGTGCCACCTATCAATCATCTTTGGACATTGAATCACACACTGTACCTCGCTGTAGTGTAGCAAATGTGGTAATAAGAATTACCATAGGTTCTGAGTGGCGGAATCTGTCTTTATTTTCTGCTTATTTTGAGTAGCACTATTGTCACAGAGTCCTTTGTTCTTAAGACAGAAATTAATATTGGAGGAAACCTATCAAGGGCCTAACTACACTTCAAAGACCAGCAGAGACAACAGAGGCCATGGGCAAGATCTACTGTACCACCGTTGACATACCATTTCTCACATGCCAGGCATTGGACCCTAACTATGTCTTGTTTTGCACCTTACAGATGATGTTTCACCATATTTCAAGACGGAGCCTGGTCCTGCTCAGATTCACCTTGAAGGCAATCGCCTGGTCATGACATGTCTGGCCGAAGGAAGCTGGCCCTTGGAGTTCAAATGGATTTTGAACAACACTGATATCACCTCCTTCTCTCCTGAGTACAAGTAAATGTGCAGTTTATTTCTTTGAATAAACCCCAAAAGGGTTGTTCACAGTATCCTTAGGCCCCTACTGTATGTTGTGGATTCAAAAAATAGAATGTCCACATTTTTGCTTATTAAGCTTACAATAATTAAAGTAGCCCTTTATGGACATTTTGGTTTAAAACTGTTTTCTAAACAAAGACATTGGAGAATGTGGAGTGAGACTGTTAAATCTGAGTTTTAAACCTTTTTCCTGAAGCTGGTGCTTGTTTTAAAAGTGTCCTTACACAGGCAAATTTGTGCAATAATGCAGCTGTGTAGTCTCCATTCAGGTACACTAAGTTTTACCAGAAATGACTTGCATTTGCTTTGCAAAAGTGAATTTAAACTGAATATTTGAAATGAATCTTGAACTGCAGGAAAACACAAGTGTCCTTTATATGTGTTAGAGCACCACATGGTTCACTTGGCATTAAGGGTAGAGGGTAGAGGCCAATTTTCACTGTAACATTCTGGATATTATGCAGCAAATGAGATTATCATACTGCATGATGTATGCAAATTACAAGAGAAACAAGTTACTGTCCACAAGGGTGTTTATTCTAAAGTTGTTTTTGATTCCATAGATTGCCCTTTATAGTTTGGGACTTGATATGCATGAAATATTATTGAATTATTGCATGGAATTTTTAATAACGCCATAAATATAAAATACTCTGCATACTTAATCACATGATATTTGGCATACTCTTTTCTCCTGGTGCTGTAAATGTGCTTTATTTTCTGCAATATTTTTAAATAACACTGTGCTAGGCTTGTGTGACTTTTCCCACATCCCTTTTTATTTAATTTCTGCAACCTTACTTGCTCACATTGCTGGCTTCTGTCTGCATATAATATACATTCTTTTATCAGTAGCAGAAAGCAATAATGAGGCTTTCTGCTAGTTTAGCAAAGTTATGCATGTCAACATAACTCAATGTGTGACTGGAGACTTTAACACTGTAGCTTGTCTGCAGCAGTAAGGACGTGTGATGACACAAATGCTGTTGGTGCATAGGTCTATGAATAAATGCCATTCTTGTCCACAAATCTAGGCAGACTAAACACAAGGAAAATGGAAAATGTAGCCATGTAGGAGCAGAGGTGCACTGTAGTATTACGCAGAACCCCAAAATGCACTATTGTAGCCCTCCCCTTAAGACTATAGGGAGCTATTGATATTAAAAAATGCAGTGTCCTGCTCCTATGCTCCTTTGTTGTATGCTAATTTCCTGTTTCAAAATACCCTTGCAAATACAGATCATCATTAAAACCTCTACCTCTACCTTCACACAACCTAATAAAAACGTGACCCAGGCTCACTGTGTCCCAGTCAGGTGGCAGGCATATACAGTGCAAACTATAACATCCGCATGGAAATAAAAAATATAATAATTAATTAGGTTATGACTGTTCACAAGTTGTATTTTGAAGAGTAGCAAGGTAGTAATAAAATTAGTAACCAGAACCATATTGACAGTATCAGGCTATCAAGGTTCAGTAGTTTTAATTAAAATATTTATATATACTTACAGCATTTATTAAGCAAAAAAACTATAGTCAAATCTTGCCAATGTGTACAGTATATGCACACTTAGGCATGTGGTACCATGAGCACCGTAGCAAGCTGTTATGTTTTTCCTCATTTAAAAATTGAATGCTCTGAGAATCCAGCTTTGAAACTTAGAAAGCCTAGAATTGCTCTGAATGCTCCAAATAAAGGCTCCTTGGTGTTTTCAAACAGCTAGGAAGAGTGTTGTGTGTGCATGAAGAGCATCCAATCATTGCGAAAGATACAGTATTGCATTTATTATTATGTACTGTGAAGATGGGATTTGAAACAGAACTAGTTATGTTGCACAAAAGACCATCAGTTTGGTTTCAGTTTTGATGTCACAATCTTCAAACACCCAGTTCCTCAGGCGATCAAAGGCCATGCTTTCAAATTTCAAACAAAATGCCGGAAGTGTTGATATGTCAATATCAGCCTTCTGTGAACAGTAACTCCCAAGGAGTAGGAAGTGCTCCAAATTCTCTAGTCTTGATGTGAATTCAGATCAGTGGTACCAAGGCATGTGCATTTGGAGCTTGCTAATGGAGGTTGTTTGGATTAAAGATTTACAGTGCATTTGGTAAATCAGTTGCACTCCAGCAGGGAACCTTTCTGTAATCAAACAGAGTATGGCACTCAGAAATATTTAAAATGGAGTTGAATCGATTACTTACCCTTGTTAGACTTCTGCCTGGACTAATATTTCCATTACTGAGTTTTAGTGCATGGGCATCATGATGAAGCATTGAAAGGATGCTGACTTATTTTAGGTATTGTTGGTGCTCCTGGCATTAGGAGATAATAAGATTATAATCTTGCAATGATTTTGTCCTGGGTGGAGCAGTGAAACAGTGGTTAACATTACTGTCTTGCAACACTGGAGTCTGCAGTGAAATTTGCTTGGAGTTTGTACTGTATGTTCTACCCATGTTCACATGGGTTTCCTCTGGTTGCTTCGGTTTCCTCCAACAGAACAAAGACGCAATGGTAGGTTAATTGGCTTCTGGGAGGTTAGACCATGGTATGAATGAGTGTGTGTGTGTTCGTGTGTGCCCTGTGATGGACTTGCATCCTCTCCAGGGTCTGTCCTGCCTAGCACCTGTTGTTTGTCGAGATAGGCTTCGGCTCCCCCATAACCCTGTATTGCGTAAAACAGAAAATGGATGGGTGGATTTGTCCCTTCTTGAAGATTGTCACATTCATGGTATTCTTGAAATCTTTTGGGAAAATTAATTCCAAATTTGGAGTGGAGGTTTAGTTTTAGTCCCTTTTAGGAAATCTATCACCTCCTGCTGTTTTGCTGTTCTTTATTTGTGTGATGGCTTTCAAAACCTCTTTAAGTAATTGTTGATGGTGGCTTCTTGAATGAACAAATTTTCAAACTGTTTCTCTCAACAGTCATTGATTGTCTTTTTTTTTCTTGATCTGAGGTTCTTCTTCTTTACGTCTCAGAAGTGCAACAGTCTGTGGGTTTTTGGGAGGTAAACATCCCCTGTGGCAGTAAAAAAAATATGGAACATGTTATATTGCTTGTTGATAGTTTCTTTTGTTTAGAGTTTGTTTTGCTCTGCTATGCATATAAAACACTTTGTAAGTAATATATAAGTAAATTTTTACCTGGTGATATCCATCTTAACAATCTTGGTGATCCCTATGAAATTTAGATACAGTATCTCTTTGAAGACTGTGGTGATTTTCTTCTTGAGTGGTATGAACTTGTTTCCTCTGTTCTTAGTTAAGGTTGAAGAAATCTTCCCTAATGCACTTTAAAATGTTTTTTTCTGATTGGATCCTGATTGGGCATCTTTGTGACTGAAATATTTGATTAGGTGCCAGTGTTTGGGCGATGAATATATAGGTCCATGCAAAGGTGAGGTGCTGGAGTTTGGAAACACTATTTTTGTATACTGTATATGTAAATGTAAAAATAGCTCATTTTAAAAAATAGCCAGTAAGGCAATATTTGAATTTCTTCTAAATAATAATTTAAAATTTCCTTTAAAAATATAAGCAAAATGCCTTTCCTTCTAAGATCACCTAATTGTGGCATTGTCTGGTTAAAACTACAAAGCTACAAAACATGCAATCAATGCAATATCTCTTCTTAGCCTGTATTGTAGTTTTGGATAAATGTTTCTTAAAACGGGGTAAGAGTTCTTTTTTATTATTTTTGTATGAAATTATTATCCTCACTCTGCTGTTTATATGAAGAGAAACTAACAAAGGTAGTTACAAGATCAAGAGATTAATAGAATTTTGAAGAGTTTTTGCAGAGTACCAAAGGAAATACAGATCCAGCCATTCAAAATGCTTGAGTTACACTGCGTTAAAACGCGGTGGGCGTGGCGCAATATACCATATCATACCGCATGTTAATTGAAATATGATAATAGTATCCAGAAACACCTTGTAAAACCACCAGGTGGAGCTAATAAAGCTTAATGTCCCATGTACAGCATCTGAGCTGTTGCCAGAAAACGCCCGGTTTCGAATCCCAGTCGCTGCTGAGGGACAATCTTTTTCCAGTTAAGAATTTAAGCTGTATACTCTTTAGACTTTTAATAATTTTAAACTGTGTATTACAGCATGTTGATAATTAACAATAAAAAGTTGGTATATTTGTTAAAAGCAAGATTACTCTGTTGGACGAAAATACACAACCTTTACTTCTGTACTTCATAAAAAGTTATAATGTTTTATCCTTTTCTAAGAATATGTAGTATAAGAACACCACTTGTTGTTATTTAAAAAAGATAAATGTTGTAGTGATTTAACATCACTTGATAGTTATATTAATATGGAATCGTATAACTAAGCACCTAAAGTATCACAAGTGGACGTTTGGGAAACATTTTGACATTCGTTTCTTTTAAAAAAAACTTCTATTGTCCTTGTAGTGGTAATGAGCACTGTAATGTAGTGAGGCGGTTCAAAGCGTGATCAGAGAATTACTTTGTTTCTTACATAGCCGAATATATATATATAGTCCATTATAGCTTGTTGTTGGTGTAAGTGTGAGTGTCTGGATGAATTATTATAAGTGATGGTTTTGTGATTTAGTGATTTAGGTTAAAGGAGGGAAAAGGGTTATATTTACACGTTGTGTATCGCCTCTTCTTATATTTGTAAAAACATTCCAATTTAAATGCAATACGGAATATATTATTAATAATATTGTAACTAATTCTTGGGCTTGTGCCACATGGGCTCAAACCCTGGTCTCCTGTGTTGCTCAACAGAGGTTTTCCCAGCTGAGCTACAGAAGACCTCCTTCAGCACCAGCAGCCAGCAGCCCTGCTATGCGCAGGGGAGCAGAGAGCTGTACTGTCACCGTGCTGCAACCGGCTTGTACCATCTGTATGCCTGCCATTTGTTACAATATTATTATGAATGACCATGGACGAACTGTTAACTGAAGAGTTAGAGAAGACACATTCAGTCTTGTCTTTTCAGCTTGGAATTGAATCTTTCCAGTGATCCCTTTGGCTATATTTTGAGTAAAAATAGATTGGATTAATAACTGGAGTAAGAATTTAATAAACGCAACACATGTTTCATACATTCTGTTCTCTTTCTGTTATGTAGGACAGATCAGCTGGTCTTTTTTTCCCATATCAGAGGCTGTGAAAATACTGCACTCTTGTTAGAGGGGGATGCAGCACAACCTGAAGTTTCTATAGCGCGCAGTGCGAAATGGCACTCGCTGTAAAACAAGTGTTTAAAAAAACAGAACATTTGATTGCTGGTCGCCTTATGTTAAACAGCAACAATGACAACAGAGCATGCTACTGAAAATTAAAGTGGCTGCAATGGAATATGCTAGTAGGTAAAAGTTAATTCCAAGCTGGAAAGAAAAGACACGTGTCTCCTCTATAAATCTTCAGTTTACTGACCGTCCAAGGTAATTTATTATTAATAATATCTTCCATATCGCATTAAAATTGGAACATTTAACAAAAGTAAATTTCCCTTATTTTCTAACCGCTTTAACCAGGACAGGTAACAGTTTCACCCCTTCCCCTTTCCTCTGCCTGCCTGACCTGTTCCCATTTTTAACAATTCTGTGTCCAAATCGCAGCGATTGAGAGAGACTAGGGAGAGACAGGAAAAAATTGAATGCTGGCTTTTTGATAGTCAGATTTAACGTATGTTTGAACACAGTCTTGCAAATTAATGTTTTTACAAGATGTGGAAGTGCAACAGTTTATCACAGTGTGAATTTTAATACTATTTATTGATTAAAATTAAAAATAAAAAATAAAATATGTTTACAAAGAAAGTGGATTGCAGTAATACTACCAGCTATATAAATACATATATTTAGATCCTTAAATAAATATAATTATCAATATCTTTAGATAAGTGATTCCATATTATATTCCCTGTTAATCAAATTCTAAAAAGTATGCATTTTTTACTGCGATAACGAGCGTAAGTATTTGCAGAAAAGGTTAAAACATTATAACTTTTTACAAAGTATATAAACTTAATATAGACAGAAGGAGCATGTAAAAAGTTTCCAAAATAACCACAGTAAGTAACTGAATGAAAGACTTTAATGCTTACATTTTTAAGAAGAAAGTGGAAAATGTATTTTTTATTTTAACTACCAATACCAGCCATATACAGCTTACACAATTTGTTTATATTCCTAAATGAATATCGCTTATGACCTTCAGACACATTTTGCTCCTCTTCTTTTTATCCTCAGCTACTGATATTTCCCTTTAGCAGATTTAAACATGCACAGTAAAGAGATTAAATGAAGCAATCGTTTCACTAACAAGCAATGGACCAAGAGTGCTGCCTGTCAGACATTTTGGCCATCCAATCACGTACTGCGGTATAATGCGCTAAACTGTAGATTCGCGCTGAGGGAATCAAAGGGGGGACTCAGGGAAATAACTAAAAGTTTTGCTAAAAGTTTGTATTATATCTTGTAGGCTATGTATTTCTTTGCTTATATTTTACTAACTCCATCTTAGGATGTCTGGTCGCAAAAGATAACATAGCCACATCGTGTAAGTACCCATAGCTGGCATAGTTCTCAGTGAATTACCTCTACTGTTACAAATGATCTATTCAGCAGAAGGGGCTGCTTGTCATGCAAGCCAGCAGTAAAGAAAATATATGTACTGGTTAGCTTTCTAGAATGACCATATATAGCCACAATGTAAGCAGAGAGTCATGTGGGAGTGTGTATTGTTTGTTTCACTATATAAAAGAGCACTGTAAGCGTTGTCTTTGGAGTCTTGTGTACAAATGCAGGACTCCCATATGCATGTGAAATAAAGACGACTTTCCACACACAAACTCTCAGCTGATGCCCTTTGTTTGGCACAACAGCACATTATGGGGTTTTACCGTGCATTTTGAATGGCTGCATCTGTTACGTGCTTTCCCAGCTAATACAGTACACTTCTGAAGTTAGTATTGGACTTAAAAGACCAGTTTTGTACCTTTATTGCTTTAACTGATGAAGCCTTTTAGATAATAGTTCCAATTAGTTTTCCAATGTGCCAGGACTTCCATTTGGAATCTGCAGCGGGTTTTAATACTTTGCATCTGCTCCTCCAGTATCAGCAGAAGATGATATTAGGCCGAATTCTGAGATCCAGCTCCATAATGAACTTAGAATCATCTGCTTGTGGAGTCTAATTGCAATTTAATAGTTTGTGTATTCTAATACTCAGCAGCTACAAAGGCCAACCTCTCTCACTGATGCTTGCTCTTCAAATCAAGGTTTTTTGAAGGGTAAAACTGTTGACTGAATGCCTGGATGAACGGAAATCTTTCATACAATCCAATTGTATTTGCATCATTTTCAGTATGATTAGTATTTAAATAGAATGAATCTAGAATTGCAGAAAATAAAAAAAAACATTTTAAATGATCTGTTCAAGAGACCTGTTTTGACTTATACTAGTAGAAATATGGTTCATGTAGATCTTTGCTTTACTGCTAAAGAGTATTACAGGAGTATTAGAAGTATTATAAAATATTTGTCTTCAATCAAAAGGTAAAACATTGTCAGTGTCTGATTCCACAGTATGTTTTTAGTTGTATTATGTGTGTGTATAGAAAATAAAGTCTCAGTATGCAGTGTACCGTTGAGCAGTTAACTCTGAATAAAGAAAACTTTATCATCTAAATGATTGGAGCTGAGCTGACCTGAATGTTTCTTGTTGAGTTCATCTTAAGGATGGAAGTGTTTCGCTGACATGCTTTCCTCTCTGCTTTTCCCCAGATACATCATTCCATCTCTACTGCAATCCGATGCTGGGTTTTACCAGTGTGTTGTGAGAAACAGGATGGGTGCACTGATGCAGAAGAAGGCAGAAGTACAAGTAGCATGTAAGTGTGAATAAAGGTGATCATGTGTAGCAGGATGCATTCAGCTTGTTTTTCCATAAGAGATATGTGGAAAAGGTTCTTTCTTTGCACTCCTCTGACCTGTACACACAAACGGTCAGAGATGCCATGTCCCTATAAAAGAGCTACATTTTATTTAGATGTAATGTTTAGGAATGCATTTTGTTATAAATGTTTAATGTAATTTAACGCTATTTCTTAAGTTATCTTCCTTTGCAGCCTGCTCATTACAAATAATTATTCTATTCTTATTAAGCACATTTTTGCCTCAGTACATACAATGTACTGGAAATTGCAAAGTATAAAACACCTTTCTAGCAAAGCAATATATTTATTAGATTAAATTGCACATTGAATTAATGATGTCATTTAACAGGATCCCAAAGACAATTTCACACAGAAGTCCACTGTGTTCGACTTGAAAACAAGTCTGTACTGTGTCATAGATAAATGGCTTAGTTTGATTTTTGTTCTCCTCAGCAATGTGGATCTATTTTAGTACTCTCAAAAGCATTTCATCCTTTTGTCCATATAGGCTTTGCTAAATGTTGCACATAGTATGATCCGGAATCACAGAGGTGGCAGCACTCAATTACTTTTACAAATGGTCTCTTCCCCCCAGATATGGGAAACTTCGTGGAGGGAGATCAGAGAAAGACTGTGCCACAAGGTAAAGCAGCAGTGCTCAATTCCCCAGCGGTCAGCAGCTATCCGCAGCCTCAGGTGACATGGTTTAGGGATGGATATAAGATCATCCCCAGCAACAGAATGTGAGTACAGTGTTGAGACCTTTTAATACTGTTTGTTTCTTAGAGGAGTCATTTGAGCGGTCATTGAAGAACATTGGAGCCAATCATTAGGATGATACTGTTGGGTCTAGTGTTTTTTTCTTGTGACTCTCAACTGGTTTTGCTGTATGATAGAGTAATTGCCTCAGAAGCCTATGAATGGGGCTTTAACAACATGAGCATAAGAGGTGCTTTGAAGGAAATTGCCTTTAATTGGTGAGAATCTACTTACGCTGCCTAATAATTGGAAAGGGCTTTGTGTCGCTCAGTGTTAGGTTGGGGAAATGGGCCTGTGTGAGCCTCACATGAAAGAACACATCAACCATAGACGCACATTTCGGTGGCAGCATTGGCAATCTTATGCGATGTGATTTCCCTGCCTTGTCAGAAAAGTGCAATTAACGCTTTTTTCCAAGCATCCTTTAATCTTGGCATGGTTGTTTTTTATTCCCTTTGTCTAATTAGCAGCTCACCCACACAGCAGCAGCAGCCAAGGCAGGTCTAATTCTCCATTATTGCAAAGTGCCTTTCTATTCCAAGAGGGAGCAAATCAGAGCTAGTCCTTATCTTGACCCAATTTAACAGTTTTTTTCTGAACAAAGTTTTGGATGGTTGGGTGGTTTGGATAGATTGATATTTGCTCCACGGATGAAATTGAAAATCCACTGTGTGACCAGGAGTAAATTAGAAACGTTCAGGTTTAGAAGTATTTTCCAACTTTAATTGGAGTGTGCTCATCTTGCAAGTGCAAGAGTCAAATATCTTTTCTGACAACCTTAGGAAATTAGGAGTGTTATATGACTTGCTGTCATGATTCAGGGTATGAATGAATTAGATGTTTGGGTTGAGAAGCCTGTGGGGGGTACCTGCTCTGTAGGGGGCACTGCATTTTTCTTTTATGTCTACATATTACTGTTGTTTCTTTAAAATAAGTTTTCATCAAAGTAACACAACTACTATACATCTAAAATCAAAACAGAAGTAACATGAATACAGTCCATATATAGTCATACAAACTGTGCACTGTTTTTTTCCTCCTGTCTGCCTTTTTTGGACCTGAATATTGACCCTCATGCAGATTCCTGAAAGAGAGCTGCTGTTGGCAGTAAAGATTTATAGACAAACTTATTTTTCAACTGGTTTGTGGTGAAGACTCACATATGTTAAACATAACATGTACCATCCTGGTGTAATTACAAAAGCAAAATCAAAAGCAAAATCTGAAAAACATTTTGAGGATGAGGAGCATAATTCTGTCTCAAATTTCTTTTAAGCCAGGTTCCGTCAGTATACGGATACCTTTTCATCTATTTCTAGCAGTACTTCAGAATGTGCATAGTTAAGTCAGTGCAACACAGTGTAAAATTCATATTAGTAAATGTAACTGCTTTACCTGCTTGTAGTACAGGAAAAAAATGATCTAGTGATTATTATTTAGACAAATAATCTTTTCTTTCATCTCTATTGAGGCACAACCTCTAGGGACTTAGAAGTCTTGCCCCACAAGCGCAAATTAAAGTAGCACATGTCTAGCTTTGTGGCTGTAGTAGCATCTCAATAAGTAAATGCCAGATGAGCTGGCTAACACTGTCATTTAATATGCCCCCAGACTCAAGCAAACTTTTGCTCAAAGCACAGGGGTGAAATGTTATATAGGAGAACGTGGTGCTGGCCTTGTAAGTTAAGACTGCTGGTCTTACCTCTCTAAAACTGTCTACAGTACATTTACACTTAGTGGTGTTGCACAGAGCTTACTTTGCTATCTTGTAACCTTAGCAAAGTTGAAGGTTTGTTCACTCTGGGTGTTTTCAGGTTGGCAGAACAGAAATTTAAAGATTTAGAAATCTGACAATATTTTGAAGTCAATTATTGCAGTTTTGGAGAGTATGTCACATCCTTATTTGTTCATAAAAAGGAGCAGTGCAGTCACCTTAGTTGGTTAAACCAGCAACAAATGACTGAAAAATCCCTCTGGAAGAATTTAGAAAAATAGGTTATACTTCACAAGTGATATAGGATGATGAAATTAACAGCCCTTGCAGACACTTAGATTAATTGTTAGGGACTGCTCTGCCTGAGATCAATAGCTATTTAGAATAACATGAAGGGGCACAAATCAATCTATTGGACTCTGATGACAGATTCTTTAGTTAATTATTTTTTAAGTACAGTAAATGTAAGGGAGACATTATTTCTGAATTTATTTTCTGAGCAGAAAGATGTGGCTCAGCTGTAACCCTTTCCCTGCTGTTGTTTGTCATAAAATCCAATTTCCATGTTATATCTTATGTGTGTGGACTTTGGCCTTTGGAGTATAGTAAATGTTTTGTCTATTTGTTGTGGAAAACATCACACATGTTTTAGAATAAATAGTGATGAAGTGCCTTTATTTTTCCCTTTTATGTTGAACATACTTAGATTGTTGGATAGTTTTTTAGCCATATAGTTTGGCTAAAAAAACTATACAGTGAGACTGAGGCTGGCCTACCTCTGTAGGCGGGGAGAGAGTTGTGCATTATCGTTTCCTTGCTGTATTAATCTGTGTCCAGTCAGATGCAAACCAGATGGCTCCATGTGTCTCTTGAGGAAAGTATGATGGCGTTCTTTATGAAGCTATTGATCCGATAAAGATCACAACTCTTAATGCAACCAAAACACCGTCACACCACTCTGTTAACTGCAAATACCTAGCTGTCAATGCAGTGCTACACCTGTGTCACTCTCCTGAATGCAAATTAAGGTGCAACGTACCAATTTTAATTAATAGCAGTCTTAGTTTAAAAAAATTATGCATGAGCTGTTTTGCCCACTTTTTAATAAAAACTGTATTTGACGTTGGATTTTTATCTGAATAACAGTTTTTATCCAGCAAAATATTTTTTACACATATCTTTGATGCAGTTCATGGTGAGCTGCTCTGGAACTTTGTTTTACGAGTTGGCATTTTTGCCATTTAGCATTTTGAGGCAGACTGAGGGTGAGTCATTAACTATACACTTTATTCTACAGTGTGTTCTTAAAGGGAATGTATTTATAATTTTACTTAAATGATCTACTTAGTTCATAGGTCTCTTCTAGTTAACCCGTTATTTGTTTTGTTTAAAAGTAATGTGGGCATATTTCAGTGAATTAGGTTGATTTTCTTTTCTGTTGAATTAGAATAGGTTGATTTGTGAAAATCTAGATACCAAGACAAGTGCCTTTTGGCAAGGATTTTTGTGGTCTTCCTGATTAGACATTTTGTGCACTGATGATGGCAGTGGTTGAAATAAGGCAGAGTGCTATATAGAATTTTCTGTTTAAATTACGTACAGTATCTTATACTATATTTTATGCATCTTCTTCTAATCAGCAGCAAATCTTTACAAAGACCTTGCAGTACTCATCAGCATATGCTTTTCTCCTGTTTGTTATTTTTGAAGTGGCATTTGGTTGGCTTTATTGTGAGGGCTCTGATTCTTTGTAATTAAATTGCCCTTTTTCCAAAGTACAACAGTTTTATATGGATATGTCCCTTTGTGGTAATCATTAAACTGCTTTATATACAAGAGATTTCAATTAATCTAAATGTCAATAAACCCTGAGAGAATGATGATTATTTAAAGTTATGTAAAGTGTGGCTTTTAATTATGAATTAATTCAGTATGGCAGTTTATTTGCATAAAATTGTCAGTGGGCATCACAATTTCCTGATTTAAAAAGGTTAAGACCCTATGTCACGAAGGCATCAATTGATGACCTTTGGAGAGATTTCTATAATCCTAGAATTTTCTTTTCTAATTTCTCAGCACTGCAGGTTGCATAAGGGGAAATTATTCTGCACAGTGTTCTTCCTTATTGCTAACATCTTGTCTAAACTAAATAGATTTTAGAAAGTACAGAAAGTGGAAAAATGAATTTGTGGTTTCACATCAAAGGCTGCAAAAAATCTTGCAATGTTAAAGATTTATAGACAAACTGAAAAAATGTTTCACAATTACATATGTTCATTTTAAAACACTGAAAATCAAAATATATCACTCTGTGCATGTGTGCTCTCAGAACAATGAGATATAAATCTTGTATATCAATGTTTTGGGCATTATTTTGGTAAATTGATTGTTAAAACCTTAATGCAATAAAATAACTTTGAATTATGAATATACATACAATATAATCATGTCATTAGTGAGCAAGTTGAATATCAGTCCTGTTGAAAATCAAGAAAGAAACAGAAAAAATCCACTTTGTTCAACTTATCAAGTCACCAATGCCTTTGTTCCACCAGTACTAAGTTACCATAGGTGGACTTATCTGTAGTCCATCTAATGCCTTCTGCAAGATATTTGCCTGGTTTTTGGATCTTCTTCAGGTCTTTTTGAATTTCCTTCATAGCATCTACAGTTTATGCTAATCCTTCTTTTTTTGTATCATCTGTGAACTTCTCTAGTTTAACTGTCCAGAATCTAGATAACTGGTATAAATTAAGAAAAGCAGTGGTCCAAACAGAGTTTTCTGTGCATTACTCAGTTCTCTATTTAAAAATGTGCATTACCTAACATGATTACTTCCCGAAATTGTAGAATCAATCTTTAAAGAGGAACTTTAACAAAAAAATTCTAAAAATCCAACTGTATCATATTCAAGCCCTGTTTGTTTCTTAAATTTGTATAGCCATACAGATGATTCTTTAATTTTGGCCTAATTATCATTCTCATAACCTTACATGTAAAAATATATTTTAGGTTTCTAATACCTGTAACACTGGCAGACTTCTATGTTAATATTATTTTATATACATCTTTCTATATCTTCTATGGTAAACACCTGAGTGAAATATTTAATATATCAGCAATTTCCATTTTATCATCTGAATTTTTCTCATTTTTATTTCTGAGATACTTTACTTCATCCTTTACTATTGTTTTGTTGGCATCCTTTGACATTTGTTTTAGCCTCCATTTCTATATTTGTTTCTCTGTCTTTCCAAAATACTAATCCTC